TAACTCGGGTGGTACTAAGTGACTAGTTCGAGGTTATAGTATGAACATTTATAAATTAATCCTAAGTTTAGGATTGTGATGCTTCGTCACTAGGGTATTCAGTTGGGATAGCCTTAGATGATTTAAATGATATAATTATCCTAGGATTGGATTGTTGATATTATTATCCGGGTGGTCTTTATGATACCCGTAATTGATTGTTTGATTGGTAGCAAGGGTCATGGCTCGGCTCTAGTCTAAGGATAGATGCCCGATCACATGAATTTGCTAATAGATAGATGAGGGTCATGAGACGGACGAGTCTAAGGATCGTGCCGGACTGCATGGGCCCACAATAGGATAGATGTAAGGACCATGGCCCTTCTTGGCTCTAGAGAGCGAGTTGGATAGCATGGACTTACAGCGTGATCACGTATAAGGGTGGAATCCGAATCAAAGACCTTGCGAGGCTTTGACAGCGGTAACACATAAGATAGGACCCCGAATGGGCCTTACCTTCCTACGGGAACAGGGTATGAGTCCAGGGGCAGGATGCTGGACTCCGACCGAGTGCTCCATGGAGACTTGGATAGCGGTGACAGGTCCTGTATGAATTATTGCAGGGCAATACGAATTATCGCAGGGCGATACAAATTGTATTTTCAAATTATCGCAGGGCGATACAAATTGTATTTTTGAATTATCGCAGGGCGATACAAATTGTATTTTTAAATTATCGCAGGGCGATACAGATTATATTTTGAATTATCACAGAGCGATTTGAATTGTATTATTAAATACAAACGGGGAAATAAAATATCGCATGGCGATGCAAAAGGGTTTTGACAAAATACAAATGGGCCTATGGGCCGACTATTTGACGATATATACTTATGTATGATTTGAAAGGGGTAACTATGGGTTATTTCCTAGTATTATGATAACACCTATGTTGAGGGTCTTAAGGATTGAAACATTAATTATATGCAGTATAGTTGTCATTGTACTTTTCAAATGCTTCAAAGTACTGACCTCCCCTTCACGGGGGAGGCCACCTCACAGCTTTCAGGTAGAAGCTAGAGCTTGCTTCCTGTACCCGTTGCTTCGGGAGTTCTTGGAGAGAAGACGTGGTTCGTGCTTCCTCCGTTCTGTTTTCAAAACAATTACAATGATGCTCATGGATAATATTTTCTAATAAATTATTGAGGGCTTGTATGCCCAAGTTTGCCAAGTGTGGCTTGAACACTTGTAATATTGTTTCCGCTGCTTTAATGAATATTTTACATTATGTTTGTTTATGGATGTACTATGTGTGAATGATATTCCAGACGCCTTGTATAGTACGGATGTGTTAGACTGCGGTTGACTATTCATACTGTACGGCGGATTGTTGACGTGTCCGGGTAGGTCCGGGGCGTGACAGTATCACGTCTGGATATAAAAGGTACATATCCCTTTTGAAGAAACCTTCCGCAAAGTTCTCTTCGTATAAGCCTTTCGAGTCTCCGACTTGCAAACCCTAGACGGTCTAGCACTCCCGCCGTTCGTTCCATGAATCTTCTTTATCCTTTTCCATTCTGCACCGTCTTCCTTGACGACGAGGGGTCAGGTTCCAACCGACCCCAGATTCCGGTCGACTCTAGGAGTGTTGAGATGACCTATTTTTATTTATCCGCTAATTTCGCTCGCAGGGTCTCGGTGGTCGCTATTTCGGACGCCGGATTCGAGGAGGCGGCCCGCCTCGCCGGTCCGTCCGTCACCAGTTCTCGCCCTACCCTGGGGCAGAACATCGTAGAACCCCCTACGTCTCTTCATTTCGGGGTTCATCTTGTTAGTCTTGAAGTGAGCCTTCACTTCCCTCTTCATCCTGCCCTCCTAGACATCTTGCGTCAGTATGGGATCATTCCGGGTCAACTTACCCCCACCACACATTTATTCATATATAGCTGAGTTTATTGCCCGATGTATCTCCTTACGGATTAGGCCTTATATGGACTTGTTCCTCACCTTCTTTCACTTTGTGAGATCTAGCGCTTCTGACACTCAGGGCTTCTTTTCCATCTCCCAGCGGGTAGGCCACCGCTTGTTCGCTATCAAATTTTATCAGGACTCTTTCAAGGGTTGGCGATATAAGTGGGTCTGGGTCACCCCAACAGCTGGCAGGGTTTCGTTCTTGAACAAGTGGGGGAATTGATCTGGAGATGGGTTATGCTGATCTTGCCATATGGGAACGAACTGTCCACCAAGCTCTTTGCTAATGACGCACCCTTTGTGATGGGCCATTATATAGCTGAGAAAATGGTGGTTGTTCATGAATATACTCAAGGTCGGTTATGCCGGGTCCCTAGTTTGTCATGAGGCGTGTTATGCATTTCATTTTAACTGTAATTTGTTATTCTCTGCAGAGGGTGATAAGATGACATCCCGATTGGTCAGTCTTGCGGCTAAGGTGGTTCCTGGAACTCCCCACGCCATGCAGACGATTCCTCAAATCGTCTGGGGTTAATACATTATCATTCCTCCTTCGGAAATCACTTCGTCGTGAACGAGATCCTTCGTCCTCGATCACAACCAGGTTCATTCTAACATCGCCTTGGTTACCACCACCACGGTTGTGACTGTGCGATCCAACCACTGTTCTCGTAGTAAATCGAGCTCTCAACAAGAGCACTGGATGATGGAGTTTAATTCCAACTACAAAGCTAATCTACGAGAGCAGAGTAATTTAGGCAGTGTAAGACAGTTTTATTATTCAGGAGGCGGATCCCATTTAGAGTAAGTACAAAAAGTATTTATAGACCTAAAGTTACAATAACCTTGTTGGGATATATTATCCCGGCCTATTACTGTTCAGTAGCCCAAGATGTTATCCAGTACGGAGCCCGGGCAGCTAGGGGCATTTCGGCCCATCCGTACTAAGAATGAGTTAAAGGTCCACGAGAATGTGTAATTTTAGAAGTCCATAAAAATGAATGAATGAAAGTTTAAATACACTTAGGGGGGATGTATTGTATCAGGATTGTGGAGGATATTTTTTTATCCGTGGATTTCTAAAAAAGTTCATGGACTTTTAAATCCATAGACTTTTAAATGAATGACTTTTAAATCCGTGAACCTTTAAAGTCGTGGACTTTTAAATGAATGACTTCTATGGATTCTAATAAATCCATAGACTTTTACTTGGACTTATTTCAGACCAGACTTTAACAAAGCAAATCAGACTTTAATAAATAAGAATATCTACATAAAAATGATAAATATAATAGCTAACGTTCTCTATTCTGAATGAGGTCAAGCATAAGCATTAAAAAAAAGTAAGAAAAAAATAATGTCGTCAATGCAAAAAATGGGAACAAACGTCTTGTGCTACTGAACTATGGATCAAAATTATTCATTTTCTGCAGCTGCCCACATTTGAGTAGCAAGATTCATCCTCCATTCATTGGCCTTTTCCCTCTGTTGATCTTGTGTCAGAAAATTGTCCCATTCAAGATTGTCATCATCATCATCATTGCTAGGTGGGTCTTCTTCTGGATCCGGAGGAAATTCGTCAGATCGACATTCACGTCGAAGAAAATTATGCACTCATGCACATGCCAAAACTAATTCTGCTTGTGTTTTATAAGAGAAAGGAGGTGCTGTTTTGAAGATTGTGAAGCGTGACTTGAATATTCCAAATATCCGTTCAATCACATTTCTTAGAGAAGCATGACGAAGATTGAATAGTTCAACCGCATTGACAGGGTGATTTCCTTGACCACCAAAATCCTTTAGATCATACCGAGTACCTCGAAATGGAGCTAAAAATTGACACCGATTTGCAAATCCACAATCCCCCAAATAATATTTTCCTAGGCATTGAATTATTACACAATCAGTCTATTATACAATGCAATAAATATTTGGTAACAGAGATTTGGATAAACATGTTAAAGTGTACCTGGTGGCACTTTAAGACCATTTGGTCTTGAAATTGCATCATTTAACACTTTTGAATCATGGGCAGAACCTTCCCAACCGCTAAGCACATATATGAATTGCAAATCAAAGTTGCAAGCAGCTAGTACATTTTGAGATATAGTCCCATGAAGATTTCGATAGCTGTTCACTTCTCGTCCAGTTACGATTGCTGGAATATGAGTGCCATCTATTGCTCTGATGCAATCCTAGCATTAGGAAAAGAAAAAGTACCAAAAATAATAATTAATCATCATTGATCATGTAAAATTGGTGAAGTGCATTAAGTAAAGAAAAAAACACCCAAAAAAAATTAATTAATCATCCTTAATCATCAATAAAGTTTTGCATCACTCACCTTGAAATGAGGATAAAACCGTGTACTCTCTCTGATGACATGTGGTACAGATTCCGGTTTGGCCATAAACTCGGGAGCTATTGTATTCAACGCTTTCAATACTTTGTTGAAGCTTCTGCTAATGGTGAAGTGTGACCGCTTAAATATCATTCTTGGTTGACTATAGCGGTTATTTTGGCCAATAATAAGAAAAAATGTTGCCACCATTTCTTCAACACAAATATATCTTGTATCTCTTAAAGGCGTTTTGTTTCTTAGGATACAACATAATTTTTGAAAAATGTTAGGATACATTCTGGATACATCTCTAAATGTTTTAGGATCGTCGGCCATTATTTCATCCATATATCTAATCCCATTAGCCGTCACAGGTCGGCGAGTCAATGGGCATGGAATAGGTTCATCATTAATTCTTGAAGCGAGATTGTATATCAAGTAAGTTACTGCTTCTATTGCCAGTAGCAATATCTTAAGAGTCCCAGAGAACTCAACCTCATCTTCATCTGCTCCATATATATCTGTTTCACACATTGCTAAAAGAAGAAAAAAGACATAAACTTTAAAAAGTGAACTATGATATTTTGAAACAAAAGTATTCTAACACATAATACATAAAATAGTTCAAATAATCCATATCACGTTGCAATCCGAATAAAATTAAATCACTCCAACAATAGATAAAGTAAATACGCAACCATGACCTATTTATTAATAGATATCTCTAGAGGACAAATCTAATGAAGTTGCTTAAAGATTGGTGATCTAGTGATAGCGTTGTTCGGGAGTCATCCTTAAAAAGAAATCTTGCTTTGCTTTCGTATTCAGCAAATCAAGAGCTTTAAAGCAATCCTCGTCTGTTAATCCAGGGGTCTCTTTCATAACATCCAAAAGATCATTGTCCCTTGCTTCTCTCTTCTCCATTAAATAACAAATTTTATCAAAGCTTTGAACAATTTTACCAAATCCACTTGACAAGTTCTCTAGAACTGCATCTTGACCATTAGTTCCCTTTACGTTATTATTAGTTCCAAATTCAGCCCTACTCCTCTTTCCATGTGCTTTATTTGATGAAGAGGGATTCCCTACATTTGTACGTTGATCTGGATGTCTTGAGAAGAATGGGGAGGTATTTTGGGGTGATGACATATTTTCACTTTGTACAAAAGTGTTGGTATCTGGATCAAAAGATAGCCCCTCTATGCCATCAATGTCATCTTCTTGTGCTCCTAATATTGTAGCCTCCGTGTTGGCTTCACCGAAACCAATCGAGCCCAATCCTGTGGCTGTTCCGTTTTCTACCGCAATCCTCAAGTCATCATAGTCCGGAAATGCATCTGATCGAAGGTGTCCATGTAATGGATTTGACTGATATAAAAATGACACAAATGTGATAATGGTGATAACCATTTAAGAAGTTTTATGAATGATATGAATGGAAAAAACCCAGCTAACCTTTAAATAATCAGACCACACTTCTTCTGAGGCTGTGAATTTCTTTGTGATTGGATCCCATCCAAATCCAGAATTATGACGCATAAGTTGAGAGTAATTAGAATATTGTTTTTTAAACCGCTTTACTTTGCTTTGGTACTGATTATAGGTTATTTCATAACCAAGTTTTTCCTTAAGGTTAGGTAGAAGTCTTGTCTCTACCTAGAGTTTGCTTATAACACCATTAATATCACGCCATCCAAATTTAGCACCTTTGACCATAAGTTCAAGCAAAAAGTTGCTTTCTTCAATAGTCCAAGTCTTATAATCCTTCCGTTTGCAATTAGCTTGTGAATCTCCCATCTATATGGTTATGTAAAACAGTCAAAGAAGGAAAACACGATGCTCAATTTATATAAATTCAAATTGGTAAAAAAACAAGCAGTAAGGAAAACAATCTGCAAGAGTTTTAAAGCCCCCACTAAAATCCAATAAAAAACATCTCAAAATCAGTAAAAACTGTAATAAAAAAATGCATCAACCATTAAAAAATAGAGTAAAAAAAACTAGTAAAACAAGTACACATCCTATAAAAATCAATAAAAAAATTGGTAAAACAAGTGAACAGAATACATCAAATCTTAAAACAAGTAAAAATACGAGTAAAAACTAATAAACATAAAAAATGTAAAAAGATGTAATTTGGGTGGAAACCTAGCAAACCCATTAATAAAAAAACTAAATAATTTAATAAAATCAAATGTTCACAACCTACTTATTCTTTTTGGTGAAAAGAACAAGCTACACTCATATGTGTTCAGCTACCAAACGAATCCTATATTTCAAGAAAAACCAGTCAGCTTATGCTCACTGGTTAAACCAAAATTCAGCATATGTTCTTATGTAATGATTGCATTACTCGTTGAGCTCTTAGTAATTTAAATATGCTGCACTAAGCAAATAAGAAGTTACTGGAGTATGTTAAATTAATTTATATAAACAATCTGAACCAAGAAAGGTTCACAAAATAGTAAACACACATATACGAACCGAGAAGGGTTCACTATTCTAGTAATTTGACGGGTCTAGCAGTGAAGCGGGTTTGGATGTTTTTGTGAGTTTTGTCCCAGTGTAGCTATTGTTGCTTGTTGCTACTTATGCCCCTGGTAAGTCTTTAGGGTTTAGTAAAAGATATATCTCTTTCCCTAGGTACAAGGGAGGACAATAGGCATTTTGGGCCGACTATTACGAATACATGACCATCGAGTGTACTCTGTAGCTTACTTTTCCTTGTTACTTATAGCCTGACAACAAATACCATATATATTATTTAAAAAGATAGTTTTAACAATCTCACACTAGTATATAACAATGATCACATACAGAGAGGAGAGGAACCGTAAACACGGAATCATGAACACATAAATCAATTTGTGAAATACTAGAAGAATGATAAAGATGGCGCCTGAAGGATGACAGAAAACGTGGGAGAGTAACCTGGAAGAACGAAAACCTGGAAGAAGGGCAACTTGCGCTGCTCTGGGTTGTGTTGAGAAGGAAGACGGTGAGGGGGAAAGTATCGTCAAAATCTTGTGGTGGGAGATAGAAAATAACTGAGAAAGACTATTTATACGAAGGGTTGTAAAATCCACCAAAATGAACGATTACTCAAGTCCATGGGCTTCATAATTTTTTTCAATACACCCGGACTTGTATTCATTTTTAAAAATCCGTATCCAATACACCTAAACTTTGATGGATTTGTTATTGACTTTTTAAAATCCTAATTAAATACCTCTAGATTTTTATAGACTTTTAAAAGTCCATATTCAATACGCCTAAACTTTTGAATTCCACGGACTTCTAAAATTCTACCACTAATCCAGATAATTAGTCTTTTTTAGACTTTTAAAAGTTATAATTGAATACATCTACACTTTTTAGATTTTTAAAAGACTACATTGAATATGTCTAAACTTTTGCAATCCATGATCTTTTAAATTTCTTTCAATTTAAAAGGAGCATTTCAGAATGGAAATCCAGGCGCACTTTTAAGTAATTTCTCGTCTGGTTATTCATACTTTAATCATTTATCTACTTGCGGTTCTAATAGTGTTAGTGCAGGGTTTCCATCTGTGGACCATAATTTTCCCAATCCTCCACATCCAGTTGTTTGCCAAATTTGTTTCTCGCCAGGTCACTCTGCTCTTACATGCCCTCAGTTCACTGGTTCATCTACACCTGCCCTTGCCACTATTCCCACGGGTAGGGGTGGAAATAGGCCAGCCGGCCTGTCAGGGGCCTGCAGCCTGGCATGTTTAAGGCCTGGCCTGGCCTGTTTACACTACTAGAAAAAAAGCTTAATTTTTGCGGTTGTTTTAACTTAATTGTTGCGGTCTGGAACCGCAGCAATTGAAGGGGCAGCAAAATGCCCGTTATAATTAAAAATCATACCAGGCTTAGGCTTTTCAAAAAGCCCGTTTGTCGAAATAGGTCAGGCTTAGCCCAAACCCGAGGCCTTTTTAGCTAAGCAAGTCGGCCTACTTATATGTATATATATATATATATATTTATTTATTTATTTATTTATTTAGTTACATTTTAATTTATTTTTATTCTTTATATTTCTATTTGTATTATATATATTTAATTTAACTATAGCAAGTTGGGTATTAAAGTGCTTTTATGGAGTGTATTTTAAATAAAAAAAACTATTTTAAATATATAAAGTGTGTTAATAGGTTATTATGGCAATTGAATTCAAAACTTTTCAAGATTTGAAATACATAAAAATTTATAAATTACATTAGTCACGTATTACTAGACATTCAAAGCAAAACCAATGTACTATTATTTTTTTAGTAATTATGTAAAGACTAAATTTTATGTTAGGCTAACAGAATTTGTCACATTCAATTTTTAATTTTTTTAAAGTTTTAATTTTTTCTTAACAGGCCTACTAAACAGGCTCCGGGCCAGTCCGGGTTTTTAAACAGACCAGGCTCAGGCCGAAACAACAAGCCTTAAACAGGTAACAAGTCAGGCTCAGGCCTATACTTTCTAAAACAGGCCCGGCCTGTTTAGGCAAAAGTCTGGCCTGTTTCCACCGTTACCCACGGGTGAGACAAACATTTCAGTATGGTATCCTGACTCAGGTGCCTCCGCTCATATGACTCTTCATGAATGTATTTTATCTAGTAAATCTCCTTACACTGACTCTAATAATGTGCAAGTTGCTAATGGAACTAAATTACCTATTTCTCATGTTGGTAACGTTAAAATAAATACATCTGGTCGTCCGTTGTCATTAAACTCCGTTTATCATCTCCCACATCTAAAATATAATTTGTTATCTATTCATAAACTGTGTGCGGATAATGATTGTACAGTGATTTTTATTAAAACTCCTTTTTTATTAATGACAATCAGATGTGGGTGCATCTTCTTCAGGCTTTCAATAAAGACCATCTTTATCCGTTCCATGCTTTTCAGACTACCCTTATTCCTGGTCCAACCTGGCACATACGTCTGGGGCACTGTGGTGTAGAGTTGTACATACGGTTCAACAAAAACATTTTATTTCTAGTTCTAGTAATTTTCATCATGATTGTGTTTCTTGTAAGTTGGGTAAATCCCACCGACTTCCGTTTCAGGATGTTATTCATTCAGGATGTTTGGCAGCCGCCTGTTTTTGTCTAATCTTGGATTTAAATATTATGTTTCTTTTATTGATGATTTTTCTCGCTATACTTGGGTTTATCCTATGCGTCATAAATCTGAGGTTTTTCATTATTTTTGTAATTATGGTCATCTTGGCGGGACGGGATCCGGCAGGTCGGACCAATTGATAAGAACAGAAAAATAAAATCAACGGGGTGAACTGTTGCCCATATAATCAACGATAAATAAATACCGTTGCCCAGAGCCAAAAGGCTAAACCAACTTTTATTCCAAGATAACGAGAATGAACTCTGGCGAGGGGTATAAATAGCCATTTACAAGCAACCCTAATCAAGCCCAAATTATTTAAATCCTAATTAGGCCCATACTAACTCTACTAAGTACTCTACTAATAAAAGGCCCAAAACAAAACATAACATTAACTTAAAATAATAAATAACTATAAGAACAGCCCGTGACCGGCCCATGGAAGTGGGCCCAAGCCCGGTCCCGCCCCATGCTCTTCCCGCTTCATATCAAAGCATATAAAGATCGACTATCATTTTGTCAGAGAACGAGGGGCTCATGGGGATCTTGTGGTCAAATATGTTCCTACTCAATTGCAGTTGGCTGATATTTTTACTAAAAGTTTATCTAGTCAGCGTTTTGAATGTTTATGTGCCATTCTGCGTGTTGTTTCCCCTGCACAGATTGAGATGGTGTAATATTCTATATAATAGAGGACATACTTGTAATTTTATCTTTCCTCGTTTATTATAAATATACATCAGCACACCCTATTAGGGCGAGCCATTATTCCCCAATTATTATTTTCATAATGTGTTCCTTTGCTCCATATAGAAGGTGACTTGCCCGGATATAAATGAACAGTTTTATAAATCTTAAAACATCTCCTTTATTTGGTCCTGGAGAATGAAAACTCATCATCTCAGTACAAGGTTTACAATAATGTGATAAGCCTGCAAATAACAAAGTAAACAAGTTTAGCAGTTTTGTCCAGGGACGGAGCTATAGCTTATGCTAGGGGGGCCATGGCCCCTCCCAGCTTTTCATTTTTAAATTAGTAGTATTAGTTTTTTTTGTACTTTTGCTCCCCCCACTATGTTATTCTTCATTGTTTCAATAGTTAATTTCTAGATAATAATTAAGATGCTATGATTTAGAAATTATAATAATGTATTATTTGCTGTGGTATTTTGCCAACTTTTATTTTTCATTTGCTCAAAAAACCTTGTCACTTTTCATTTAGAACAGTGAATTTGTGATTCAACTTATTTCTCTCTTACCTACACAAACTTCAATTTTACTTTTCTTATTTTACACCTATCGTGAACTAAGCCAAATCCAATAGCTAGGACTGAGGAATTATAGTACTCCGTATTATTTTTATTTCACCCCGGCCCCCTCTTCA